CTTGTACATGTATAGGTATGCCCATATATGGTACGGTGCATGTGCTGAGTGCATGGCGTATCACTCATGATTTAATGTGTGGACAGAAGAAAATGAAGCAGATTTTGTTTTCTTTCATGTGTCCCCAATTGGCTGCTGTACCCCTTAGAAGAAAACATGTAAAATGTCAGTTTCTGCACAGTGTTATGTTGCTCTGTGTGTTGAATCAGAAGTTAGTCTTCAGAATTCTTGCAATGTTGATTTGAGACTTGAACAAGTGTGATCTTTATCTCTTGTCCCCTCACAGTCTCAAATCCTTCAATTTCAATGTGATTTTACTTACACCCAAGGGGGTCAGGGTTAATGGCACACAGTTGCCTTCAGTGAGTATCAGTTTATGAGAAGTAGGCTAACATGGCGATGACCTTACCTCAGCTGTTCTGTCAGACTTCACCCTGTGATTCAGCATGTTGGACTTGTAACACTCACATACATGGAACCTGTTCTCAAGTTGCAAAGGCTTGTACGTGTACTTAGTGAAGAAATTACATGTACTTAAAGAAATCAGGTGGCTTTGTTTATCGTGAACCCCGGTGGCCGTTAATGAAAGTGACTAAGCCGGAGTTAGTGTTCAACTCCGGAGATGAACAGGCCCACAGGTATTCCCCTGATGTCACTTGGCCCAGAAAGGTGAAAGTATCCAACCTCTTGCAGATTCAAAACAAATGCTCGGCTCTTCAGGGAGCCATCATTTGGTTGTATCATGTCTGGTCTGTGGTGGTGATGTAATCCCTGTTTTACGCGGGATGAATTTTTCACCGTTCACGTCGGCTTGTTGCCGGCACGATGCCATCACTTGTATGCTGCCAAGGAGATGAAATTCTCAGAGTTGGGAAGAGGGTTTTTTGAGAGAAGCACTGGCACGTGCTCACTTAGGTGCCGCGACTTATTTCCCGCTTTGATGTTGGTAAATTGGCACAGCTACTCGACGCACGCTCTAGTCAGTCGTGTTTATTGTGCATGCGTAGAGTTTCTCTTCAGGAACTCTCACTGTTCAAAACACACAGAATAGAGAGAAACACTCAGCTTGATAGTGGATGTCTTAGCAGATGCTCTTGACAGAAGTACTGACATCAGTCAAATGTAGATGTTCAAGTTTTAGACAATCCAAAGTGACATATAAATGTTGATTGGGGATACGGCACCTGCATTTGTAAAGGTATGAGTTTTCTTATTTCTTTGCAATGCAGGTGATAACACGGAGACCACAATGGCAGAAGAGAGTGCCAAGCCCATCTTTAGCAATGAGACGAGGTTTGAGTGCGAGTGTGACGACGTGTCCTGCAACGGTGAGAATTCCCGGTGCACGGATGCCATACAGTGCTACGCTTCACTCAGGTTCGACGACAATGGTTTCGAGTACATGAGAAAGGTACAGTAATACACTGATTACTCGGAAAAATCCACAGGGTTCATTGGACTTTGATTTCAATACCAGTCATGTACTGAAAGATTGGATTTGCTTGCCCAATTCTTGCACAGCTGTCTTAATCTGCCCAGAATTATTTAACCATTAATTGCCACATACCAACAAAATTGACAAAAAAAAGATTCTAAGCACAAGTGTACATTGTTCAAGGATTTGTTTTTTCCTGCTTTGTCTTTACGTCCAGGGTTGCTTCATCACAATACAGCACAGTCATATGTACTGCAAGAGTGAATACGGGGAAGGTTTGGTCATGATTTGCTGTAAAGGAGACATGTGCAATCAGAACATATTACCTACCTTTCCCGTCCCACCAACGACGCCATTACGTGAGTGAAAAACAATCCAACATGCTGCCCATGATCAAATCAGAGAAGTACAGAAACAGAGTAACACGTACCGTCACAGTCTTGGTTTCTTCCTCTAAACCACCCTAAACCTCTCGTCTTCAAGTACCTCTTTGAAAGTGATGTTCAGGGGTTTTTGAAATGAAGACTGCATTTTCAACAGTTTCAGAGGCTAAGCTTTTTTTTCAAAGAGGGAGTGTTTCAGAAGTTTGGGAAGTCAAAAGCACGAGTCTTCCCACTTCTGACAGGACTTGTTAGGAACTGGTGCGGTTTTTCAGGGCCAAAAAAATGATAACATTCCATAGTTTGAATTGTAACATGTTCAGTGCAGTGCTGGAAATAAACGGTACGGATACAATATCTTTGAGTTTGTAAAAAAATTGGATTCCTTTTTTCCAGTCAAACCTATCATCATCTACACAAACATCCCTCTGTCCCAGCGACTAGAAATAATTTTGTAGATCAGTGAATCACACATTAGCGAACATGCGTGTATTTTCTTGTGTGGAAAGCTCTCTCCGTTTCAACTTTGTGGTCTCTCAGAAAGTTTGTCCCTGATTTGAGTTTTTCCCCTTCGCGCCCAATTTGCAGCAGAACCTAGGGAGTCCCTTCCCTACAACGTCGCCTACCTCGTCATGGCCGTCCTCGGCCCTTTCCTGGCCCTGGTCATTGGCATCTCCTTTGCCATCTTCATGTATCGCTGGATGCACAAGAAGCGACTACGAGAGCTCAACTCCAGTGATGAGGGCTACGCCCACCACGCCCCTCATGACCTGCGGGCTGTGCCTGCCGGCGACAGTACACTCAAGGTTGGTAGGAAGAGATGCTTAATCATGAGGCAGTGTGCTTAGTTTCTGCTTTGAAGTCCCAATAACCTGTATGTAGTGTAAAAAGATTCCTTGATATGTCCGTCATAGAAAAGTGTCCATGATACCACTTTCACTCGGGAACGAGTTTTGTACAACTTTCTTCTCTTAAATGTCAGAAAACTATCTGGCATCTGTTTTTTTTGGGGGGGGGTTACATTCATTAAAATGTTTTTAAACAGATGAAATTATCCAGAGACGAGGGCGCTTTTGCCGTGATGTCATTACACTGAGGGTTTTCTGTTCAAATTGTGAATCCCACATTGCTAACCGAAACTATTAGTGAGAAAACTTGGCTGACTGTCCGACTGTCATGAACCGAAACAATCACCAAGGTAAACAAAACTTACAAAAGCAAAATGTCAACAATTCTGGCAGAAAGCTGAAATATTTCCTTAGATTCTTCCTTAGATGGCATCACACTCTTGCTCATAAATATGCCAATTTGCATCTGCAAAAAAAAAATTTAATGGAACAGTTTTCAAAATGGCCCTGAGTTCACTTGACAAAAAGTGAAAACAGTTGATATCCGAAGCAAAAGTACATTAACAATCTCAACTTGGCGTCTGTAAGATGTATCAATCTGTTGCTTGTGATGGGTGCTACACATTTGTGCTTAGCACATTTCTGACCCTAAGCCACTTCTGAAAGGGTTGACCTTTGATCAGTTGTCAGAAACAGACATCTGCAGATATGCTGATGCATCAAGGAATGCGTCATTGCCACAGACGTGGAAGATTTCTAGTGCTTCAGAAAAAAAAATCAAAACATGGTTTGTTCATTGTTTGCTGGCTTGATTGGAATAAATAGTGTCTATGTTGAATGTTTGAAACAGTGTTGTTTTTTCACATCAACACAGCCTTGTTTTCTACAAGTAACAGTTATGTAAAGGGAAAAACGTTTTTCTGTTATGATGCATTAAATTTATCAACAAGACCCCTTCTTGGTTGAGGTGACACGAATTATTGAACTATCAACAGCCGGATGGTGCAGCTATGCTGTTTAAATGTTCCGTGAAATTTAAATTTGGCTCTGCTGTAAATATATTGATCCTTCACCTAGTCTCCAATTTCCTGTCAGCTCAGGCCCAGAACTTAAATTTCCCTCACATACAACACGCTCTGTAACTAGCGTAATGTTGAAAACAGGCAGCGGCAGACAATGCAGATGGTAAACGTTGGCGGTAAACAATGTCAGCTTTTGGTGTCCCACATCTAAGTCCTTCTGACCCAATTTGTCTACTCCCTCCCCTCCCGCATTTCTCTGCCAGGTCTGGTCACTGACCTGAGGCACTGTTGGTGACATCACCTGTCCTAAACCGGTTGCCGTATCACTGGAACCGAGCCGGCCTCCCACCCTGCTTTTTGTGTCACCCCCTTTTCTTGTCACTCCCAGCCATTCCCCCAGATCGCGGTCAGGAGTTTTAATGAAGCTTGGAGGAGGGCACATCCGTATTCAATGTTCCGCTAGCCTGCTTACGACATGCAAGCTCAGTCTGGTTTCTGTTTAGTCATTGTAGACTGCTCTTTATTGTTTGGAGGGAGTGACGATTGATGAGACATACATATCACAATCCTAACAGAAGGAACACTCATCCCTGTCCAACAAGGCAGTCTTGATTTTTCTTGCCAAACTCTCTTATTGTGGAGTTTGGAGTGATCTGTATTTTGTTGAATACATTGAGCTGGTTTACGTGTAGTTTGGTCCGGGTGGGTTTTTCATTGCATTTACCTACACCTCCCCAATTTTCGTGGCGACCCGGCCCTCCGCGCGAAGACCGCGCCAGGCCGGTGCCCCTTCGCCTGCCCGCAGATTTCCCATATCATCCTCGCCGGAGAGCGGGGCACCCGCGCCGCAACCTCTTGGTCTCTTGGCACTCCCCTTCATTTTGCTCAAGAATTTCAGTAGAATCTTACGCGCAAGTCACCGGAAAAAAAACCAAAAAAACAGAGAGTTGTTGTATTCTTGTTCCCGTACATGTGAGTCACTTTGTGTGAATAAGTTCAACCTTGTGTCAGTGTCCTTCAAACATTTACTGCGACATATGCACACAAAAACAGTCCAGTTGGACTGTTACATTCCCAGGGTTGGCATTGTAATTGTCAAATTGAACTCCATCCAGCCAAGGATCTTGATTTCTGTGGCGTATGCCTAATGACCTGAACAGACACAGTGAGCGATAATTTAAGACACGGCCAACCATGGGAAAGTTTCAGCAATAACCAGTTTGGGAACTGCTGGTCAGTTGTTACTGGCAACCTGTATGCAAAAGATATCCTGAGTACCAGGCAGAATTGACCAGGAGTCGATGGACGGTGATTGCTTGAACCGACCCCCCATCACTCAATAGCTCAGTTGATGTAGGTTCATTGAAGTGCACGTACAGTGTTGGCCAGACAGCTCTGAATCTTGGCAAATTGACAAAGGAAGTCTTAATTTACTAGTTTGGCTTTTTGTTCATGTCTTGCAGGACCTTTTTGATCATTCAAACACTTCTGGCAGCGGTTCCGGACTCCCTTATCTGGTCCAGAGGACTGTGGCTAGACAGATTACATTGGTGGAGCAAGTTGGTGAGTAGTCTGGCCAACAGCCAGTAGTCTGGTGCATAGGCAGCGTACTGACTGAGTTGCATGTACGCCCCACTCTGCGCACCATTGAATCTTGAACCAGGTCTGCGGTTTGCCCCCTTTGGTTTTGTTTTGCGTTTTTGTTATGTGACCAAGAAGTCTTTTCCGAATTACGCAGCTGGTTTCTAGGCGTTGCATATGCAGGAACACAGATGGACATGCTTTCCTCCTTTCTTGGTGTTTTGGAACATGTTTGCAATCTTTCGTGGCCCAACACGTGAAGTAGGTTGCAGAGTTCCTGCCAGACCTGGGCCGGCATGTATATTGTTCCCCACCCAGACCTGGGACCTCCTTGGAAAATAAACCAAGACCTCATGGAGGCCAACTCCTCATAATAAGGACAAGACTTCAAATCATGAATAACACTGAGCAAGTTTTGTCACAGTTGCGCATCTCTTCCTTCAGATTTGCGTTCATTTACAGGTGTGTCAGGTTGAAGGAATTTATTTCCCTCTTTGATTAGGCATCACCTTCAGCAAATTTGAATGAAAGTGTATCATTTTTTGGACATGCCAAACAAGTTCAGAGTCAATTACCAGTTTGGCTGGCTGCCAAATCCATTGGAGGTAATTTGCTGTAAGGCCACCTGGAAAGGCCATCAGGGGCAATAAGCAGTTTGGCAGATTGTCAATTGAGAGTTTGATTTTAATTCTCAAAGAAATGTGGTTGAAATGATAATTAGTTCCGTCCTCTTTTCTGTTAATTCTTGCAGGTTTAAATCGAGAGTGTTCTCGTTTTCATCAAATAAATTTTTTTTTCTTCCAGGTAAGGGTCGCTTTGGTGAAGTGTGGCGAGGCAATTGGCAAGGTGAAAATGTTGCGGTGAAAATCTTCAACTCCATCGATGAGAAGTCGTGGTTTCGCGAGACGGAGATCTACAACACGGTCATGCTGCGTCACGACAACATCCTGGGCTTCATCGCATCCGACATGACCTCGCGCAACTCCTGCACGCAGCTGTGGCTCATCACGCACTACCACGAGTTTGGCTCACTCTACGATTACCTGAACCGGAACATTTTAGACCCCAAGATGGCGATCCGGTTGGCCTTGTCGGCTGCCTCGGGCCTTGTGCACCTGCACACGGAGATCTGCTGCAACAACAGCAAACTGGCTATCGCGCACCGCGACATCAAGAGCAAGAACATTCTCGTGAAGGAGAACCACACGTGCTGCATTGCTGATCTGGGACTCGCGGTCTTGCACACACGCAAGACAGACCAGATCAACCTGGGAGTCAACACGCGGGTGGGTACCAAACGTTACATGGCGCCCGAGCTATTGGAGGAGACAATGAACGTTGCCGAATTTGAATCCTTCAAGAGGGTCGACGTCTACGCCTTTGGCCTGGTGCTGTGGGAAATTGCCAGGAGGTGCCAAGTTGGAGGTAGGAAGTCAAACTATTTTTTCCTTCTGAAAAGTACCTCGCAGGGATGTGATTTCAGAATCTTTTTTAGATTTCAGGATTTTCAACCTGAAAATTCCAAATTGTCAGAGGTATCGTCGTTGCATTATTTATGATATAGACAGTTCAGCTACTTTTGCACTTGGTACTAAAAACAAAACCAAATCCCCCCCCCCCCGAAGAAAAATTTTGCCTTGTTTGGTATTGGAAGCCCCAAAAGTTAGTACATGTACCTTGTTGTTATTGTTACAACCCTTTTGCTGGGTGGGTTGTGGATTTCTTCTCTCCCTCAATTTCATCCCTGACCTTGGCTAAAGATCAAACCAGTAATTCATTTCAGCAGGTGATATTCTGACCTCCGTCAGGGAACTTTATTTTAAAAGATTACCATGAGTGCTACCAACAGACTTGATGTTAATCTTTCACTGAATGAGGGTACACAGTTTGTAATTGACTTGTAATTTTTAAATACCATCCTCTTTTTTGGTGTAGGTATGGTGGAAGATTACCGGCCCCCTTTCTTTGAGTATGTCCCCAGTGATCCAGGGTTCGAGGACATGAAGAAAGTCGTGTGTACCGATATGCTTCGGCCGACGATACCAAACCGATGGTCAAATGACCAGGTAAGCCACTCTGTGGTTCTTGATCGGTCAGTAGAATGAGCTCTGCACGGGGATAGTTGAGGGCGCTGTTAGATCAGCAGAAGTGTCATCACCAAACGAAAAAAGGTGCTCCTCTTTCTAAGAACATGGAATCTGTTCTGATATATTGAAGGAGAAACATCAGAGGACTATTGTACCTAGACTAATGCTGCGCAATTCTGAGGGTACTTTGCCGTAATTTTTGTCACGTCTTTTTGGATGGTATACAGTACTCTTGTCCATAAAATTTCAGCAAATACCTAGATTTAGTTGAACCTGCGGTAAGTATTACTCTCATGAGTGTCAAATTTTGCAACCCAGGCCATGGTTACATGGATTTCTGTTGGAGTAGCACGGAAATGACCCCATGAACTCAGTAGGGCGAGATGCAATTGACTCAAATCAAGAACACTTCCTGAACACATAAAACTGGTCTCAAGTTCTCATTCCACATCCCCAAATTACGGACTGTGACAAAATGCAGGCACGTTGACGTGCTACTGTAAATCATGTTCAACAAATTTTTTCCTTGGAGAGTGGCCAAGGGGCCCCCCTTGCGTGCATAACGTCCCATGCAAGGTTTCTCCAGAGTCTCGGCAAACAAGCTCAGGCTCAGTCAAACGAGACAGTACATGTACTTCGCAGCTCCAAGTTCCTCTCCTGAACCCTCAGGCTGCGGGATCTGAAATTAGACAGATCCCCCCCCCCTGACCGGGGAGTGAGTTGGAGGAGACCTCTCGTGGGAATAAGATTTATTGTGATGATTCAAGTTTGGCGTCTTGCTAAATATTGTTGCATCTTCCTGTATGGATTGTCTGGATTGAATAAGTGAATATTTCTCTAGTGGGTTGATATCACACCCAGTTGGATGACATCACTTCTTATGAAACACAAATAGATGCCTACCCCACCTCAGGATGTATTTCATCATGATCTTTCAGGCAAACCCACTTTGATTGACTTTCAAGCAACAGTAATCCTGCCTGAAGTTGGTTTACTTGCATGAAAACTCTACGCCCCACTTGCAGATGAAAATAATGAAGAAATTTGACAGTCATTTTCATGAAACACAAAAATGTGCCAGTTATTTCATCAATATTTTAGGGGCAAAATACCAGTAGCAACCATGAAAAAGCTGTCATTGACTGAAATTCCGCTGTGGCTATCAGTGTAAAAATGTTTTCCCCCCACCCCAAAAAAGTGTATGGGGAAGATAAGCCTTGCTGTTGTAGACATTTTTCTAAATTTGTTTTAATTGTAAAGAAAATTTTTCCAGGCAGCTGACAAAGTTGGTGGAAATGGAAGAATAGAGCGGTAAGATTAACACTTTCTTTTCCCTCTCTCTCTTTTTCCCTTGCAACACAGACGTTAGTCGCCCTCTCCAAACTCATGAAGGAGTGTTGGTACCATACGGCCTCAGCGAGGCACAGCTCCCTGCGAGTGAAAAAGACGCTCATGAAAGTAGCCGAGTCATGTAACTCTAACATGAGGTCCAAACTGGACTACAACTGGGAAAAGGCTATCATCTGAAGTCTGCGGGACTCGCCGAGACTATCTGCCACTAAGCATCAGCATTGACTGTGAAAGAATTCCTTAGATAGCCAGACACCATCAGGGAGTGACAGGGATTTACTCAGCGATGGTAACATCCAAAACTTTCCAGGCATCTGGTCGTTCAGAACAATTTGTACATGAGGTGCATGCTTTGGAAAAGTTTACTTGGGTAAGCAACAGCAAACAATCAGATGGGAACGACCAGCGATGTCATGTCTCTGAAGTAAATGTTATTCATGAAAGAAAGTCATTGGCAAATAAAAGTGGAAGTGGACTGCTGGAAATCGCCTGCGGAAGTTATGGAGTGATCAGCATTAGAGAATTTGGATTTCTGCATTTGCAGCATCGACAGGCAAGCAAAGGCTGTTGACCAGTGTCGGCGAACGATACATTTCAGGCTTACGGCCTCGTGCCACATATCACTGAGCCACTCGGCAGAGCAGGGCACTCCCAAGTGGTTACTCCTCATGGTTACTCCTCACCGATGTTGGCTGGGCAACAACTTGAAATTCATCATCATACCATTCAGACTTCATACGGCAACACAATGGGATGGCGCACCTGTGCTAGGTGATACAGGCCCAGTCTCGGCAGTCGACAGACCAGTGACTCAATCTCTGTTAAAATGAACGCCGTGCGAGAACAAAACAGGTAGATTCCAGTACAGCCCACAGTGTTATATTCACATTCGTGCAGAGGTTTTATTTTTTTCTTGGATCAGTTAACTTGGAAGCTGTTACCTCAGTTAAGGTCGCTGTGAAGGTCTCTCATGATCCAGTCAATATGTCACACAAAGAAGAAAAAGAAACCTAAGGAAGTATGGAGACTTGTGATATATCACAAGCCAGTCACATCATAAGTCACAAGATATTGATATGAACAGTGACAGAGGCACACCTCTGTCATGGCCCACCAACTGTCACAGACTTGTGACAGTCGACAAGATACCACCTTCATATACTGTGAAGCAAGCCTGTCCCAAGTGCCAGTGTTAATCAACATCATTACTCTTGTAATGTGACACTTGGCTACTCTTGAGAAATTTGGATATCTCTTAAGGGTACGTCTGCGTTATTTAATACATGAATGCAGTCAAGCAGACCTGAACAGGAAGTTGATGCTCATGTGATCCCTCGAGTTGGTTGATAAAAAACGAGTAATTTTAGCTTTTTTTTAGCATTATCATGTACAGTTTTGTAAATTTTGCTGTTTTTCTGTGAATAGCTTTGGTTTCATGATCTAACATGAACTGATGTACAAATTGTAACAACAGGGTATAATAAGACAGATGTACATGTATATTACGAGAAGTTCAAAGCCTGCAGCAATGCTTTGAAATACAAATGAGCAACAGTTGCCAAAAAACAAGACTCGGAAGTATCTCAGATTGAACCAGTTAGGACTCAAGAACTGGCGGCATACCATAGCGCTTGTTACGGCATCACAGGAAGACACGGCTGAAACTGTTAATAATGGTATTTTACAGCAAAGAGGAGTTCTTTATTTGAGCCCTTTTATTCCTTTGTTTTCAATAATTTGTTGTGTGAAAGAAACACCGGGTCAAAATTAACATTTCAAATTTGGTTGTTTCTCGGATTGGGCATTTCTGATCTGCTGTGAAATGTTTTGCCCGTTTGCATTTCAGCAATCAATTTATAGTCTTACCTGTTAACACCACGGACGTATATAAAAAACCTTGACTTGCAACGCCTTTGTATGAAAAAGAAGCCAACCAGCGGCTATTTTACCGAGCCGAATACAAAAGCGTGGGTTGGCTCCCTTCTATTGACGTCAGGAAGAACAAAGGTGGGCATTGCCAGGAAAGCTTTGTATTCGGCTCGGTAAAATGGCCGCGAGTGGATTCAATGACTCGATAAGCTGATTAAGGGCAGTGCGAGTCCAGATTGTATTATACACGTCCGTGGTTAACACGGGACTTGTTCTTTTAATTCCATGCTTAGCTATTATATGACATTTGACATCTTATAAAATGTTCTTATCGTCCCTTTCTAGAAATTCTCTTATCTATGAAAGTGGCAAGATTGACTCTCTTTTTTTTCCAGATTCACCTAGGAATATCAAATTATGCTTCCTTTTCTGCTCTATTGTTTGTATGAGGTGTGTAATTTTCAATTGAACCACTTTGTAATATAACATGAACATTTTTATGTTGTATGACATATATTTGTACATTTTAAGATTGTGCCATAAAAAGTATTATTACACTGTATTACCACAGGTGTATATTTTTAGTGCAGTGTTTGTTTTATTAAAGGAGTTGAACTGTTGTCAAAATATCAGGACAGGCATTGTTATATTGTTTGACCACTTTGGAAATGTTTTGAATGGAAATCCAGCGGAAATTTAAGAAGAGAACTTGAAATCTGAGGTTTTCAAAGACCTTTAGTCTTACAATCAAATGTGCTGTTTGGATTGGGCAATGCATTATACCTCCGTAATGTTTGAGTAGGAACCCTTTTCCCCAAAGGTCTGGGCCAAATGAAGAAAGAACGGTGTACTGAGGTCCATTGGTGGTCGATAAAATGTCCATGCAGGGTTGTTTTTTGTTTTTTTGGTTGAGATGGAGCAGCTTCAGAGTTCAGTTTTCTCAGAAAGTAGTCGTTTTTATTGAGGAATATTAAAGGACATTTGCCTTGTACATAATTTTACTTGTGGTGTTTCTTATTGATTCTTTTTTTTTACTAAAGTTTGCATTTTGTTTTAAGTGTAAAATTTGGAAGTGAACTGAACGTGCAGGTTTGTGCTGTAGTTTCATACTGGAAAGTATATCCGCCTTGAGCTGAAATGCGCCCCCACTTGGCGAAAGAAAGATAGGTGGTTACAAGCGGGTTCATGCATGCGTTCTGTGTGTACGCAAAGACCATACATGCTGGATTAAATTAGTTACGTGTACTCAGTGTGCTCTGCATCAAATGCGCATGTACTTCTATGCCTCATTGCGCACCTATAAGTACCAAAAAACACGCCCCCTTTTGTTCCATTTGGAGCGGATTGAGATCTAATTCAGACCTACATTCACATGCCATTTTGGGGGCGGATGTTGGGAGTGTGTCTAAATTTTGTTCGACTGCCAAAATAAATATATTTGAAGATGACACTAATTGGGGTTTAGTGAAAGTCTTCTACAAGGCCCCTGCCCCTTTGTGGTTCAGAATATAGTACGCCCCGCCCTTTGAAAGGATTTAGTTGTGATTCTGCCGGTGAACGAGAGGGCGCTGTTTCGATTCACTAATTTTCAGTCGTGGATATGATTATGGTAGTGCTGTGGACAGGTGGATGGATTGAGTCCGTCGGCCTACACCAAACTGTGATGCGAAAACATACCGATCACACACTCGACCCCAGAACATATCACCCAAATTATGTAGTTTCAATCTTTTTTGTTGTAAGATTTATTGTTTACTATCAGGAATTACTATTGTTAAAGTCAACAAAGATAAAAAGAGAGGTTATCGTCCGTTTACGATAGCGCAGAACGCATCGAAAGAGGGGCTGGGGAGTAAAAACAAGTTACATGTTTATTTTAATGAGCGCCCTCAATTGGCACGATCAACTGAAAGTGAAAAACATTTTCTATGACATGCATGAGGAAAATTTTCGTTTC